ATTCAATCTTATTCACCATAGAATTTGAAATAAAAAAATTTACATCATCACATCAATGTTCATATTATTAATCAAATCAAAATTTATTCTTTTTATGAGTCTAAATATATAATTTGATCCCAACTAAACTAAAGTAGCTTGAGTATGTTAATTATTCCAATATGATTTAGTTTAATTATTTTCTGGTACATTCATATTTTGAAGAAATGTACCTCGTACTTTTTGTGTCAATTGCCCAGTTTGTGTTTCTCGTTTGAGTTATTTTACAGATTTTAAATCTGACTGACAGTTGTAATTCAATTCAAATTCTGAATAATTTACTATGTTGAGTTAAACTATCAAGTATTATGTTGATGAAATCTCTATTTGAAAAACATTATGATTCTGAGTTCAAACATCTACATGTTGCATGATTATCTCGTTTCTTTTTAATTTGCATGTTTTTAACATGTAATTTTCTTCTCACAAAATCTACCTCCTTAATCAGGCCATCATTTCCTCATCTTTTTTTAAAAGTTTTTGATAAAAATAGTACAACACATGTCATGAGTACAACAATTGACTAACATTCATAGATTTTTGGGATTGAAAAACTTTGTTTTGAACTTACGTGTAATCAACTTAATTTAGTATTAATCTTAAGTTGTATAACCGACCTACACATTCTATCAATTTATGATGTCCACAAATGATCAAAAGTCAAAATTTTGATTTATAACTAAAGAATGTACATGAGATACAAAATTTCTACAGATATTTTTTTGTCATTTTTGAATAACACAACTTGCCAACACTTTTATAGTAATTTATTTTAGTTTCAACCAGTATAATTAGCAAGCCTGGGTATGTATCACTAGAAATAATTCAAACTATAGAGTTATCTTCTTACAGCCCATCAATTACCGGCTGTAACAATTATAAGAAAACTAAAATTTGTAGAACAACATCATAGAGAAATCTATTTATTACCCATAGACAAAACTAATTATAGTTTCATTCTTAAAAAAAATTTATTTCGTATTTAACTCTCTTTTTCTATAATGTTTCGGAGTATAGATTGGACATTCTTGCAGTTTCGACTGATTTTATGACAAGATTATGGCAACAGGACTCGGTATCACATGCACTTGCAGGTTCAAAATAATGATCCTGCATCCATCCAATCCATCCCGTGATCCTTGCTGACCAAGCAAGATACGCAGTAACTCTGAATTGCATCAGGGAGTCCGTGTGTTTGGACAACTCCTCTTGATGTTGAATTTTAATGGTTTAGGTTGCTTGTTGACTCCAAAGGATCAAAGAGTTCTGAACTTCAGTCTACCATGTGGTTTTGAGGCTAAGGAGATCTATACATACGGTCTTAGTGTTTCACGGCGACTTTTATTCCAAGCGTCTCTTTTTGGCCTAAATCTGTGACTTTAACCATATACCTTCTCTGGCATATTGTAACATCTTCATATGTGACTTTTCTCTAATATTATGGGACGATTAAGCGGAGGCTTTGAGACTCCTATCATGTGATGGCGGGGGGAAACAATAGCACAAGATTGTTTGTGATTACTGATATCTTACTTTTAGTTGTATGAGCTATTCCAGCTATTTACACTCTGTTTTTCATATTTTTTTAATTTTAAATTGCTCAAGAGTCTTCTGTTATAATCAATAGAAGTATCAAACTTAATTTGCTTATTCCTTAAACGAATTTCTTTTATCAGTAACCCTGGTTATATTATCCATATGCAAACAACTATAGTAGACTAAGATTCTTCTATATTTTAAAGAGTTTTGTCATATGAACATTTGTCATGAATTAAGATGTGTGTTTTTTAAAACAAATTAAGCTTCATATAGGTTTTCCATCCAAATTTGAAAGTGAAAGGTTCAAACTATACATGATTAATGTATAAAAAAATTTCATATTGGATATTTAATCATTAGATTATTTCTTTACAAGCTGAACGTATTTAGATTTATTCGATGAAAATCAGTTTTTAAGTTTATTGTTTTGGATTCGTTAAGTTACATTTAATTGAAATCATCAAGGGTTGAAACGATTAATGACTTTCACTTTGATTATTTCAAAGTTCAATATTTTTTAAATAGAAAATACATTATGATTTTATAATCAGGCTCTCGAGATCTAGCAGGCAGAATGGAAGCTCTCGAGGCAGAAAAATAGCATGTCAAAGACACTCAGTCCCATAAGAAGAAGACTGGATGGACCTGGTGATGGTTGAGCAGGAGAATTCGGTCACGGCTGTATTCTGCCTCCAAGAATTTCCAGTCAAATCTTCTTCTCGTACCTCTGTTGGCGATTTGCGACGCCATTTACTGGTGCGCGGCGGGGCTAGAAACGCTGGCCCTGGTTTGGATCGTTTTGGTGGCTCTGATTGCGGTCGTTTGGTTTCTAGCCCTTCATGTTTTTCCGCCCATCCCTAAGCATCAAACTGGACACGAGGTCTTCTTCTCTTGGCTCCTCTCTCACAACGATCGTCTCGGCCGCCAAGCCATCTTTGTTCTGAGCACTGTTCTCCTGTTCTTCGTACTCAGACATCTCAATGACTGCGTCACGAAGAAGAATCCACGATTAATTTTTTGACGTCTGGTGCTTTGACGTCTCGAAGCGATTTCCTCCTGTTCCGAATTACATTGCCTGTATTGCAATTCATCTCCTCTTTTCTGCAATCGCTGCCGTCTTCTTCTCCGCTTCTCTTGCTTCTTCCTTTGTCTCGTCATATCATGCACTCTTATCTGGCCAAACGAAGATCGGGATCTGAAAGTATAGGATGAAATGTCCGTGACGCGTGATCAACCGATTCCTGAGGCGTCTCATTAGTATTGTGATGTTTAGGCTTACTCCAGCCCAGTAATTGAGCACCTTCACTTCTTCATTCGGAATGAAGATTGGAGATCGCTCCGTTTTGCGTCTTGGCTCGAAGCCCCAATTTCTCACGATGTCCAATTCATCTCCTCTTTTCTGCAATCGCTGCCGTCTCCTTCTCCGCTTCTCTTGCTTCTTCCTTTGTCTCGTCATATCATGCACTCTTATCTGGCCAAACGAAGATCGGGATCTGAAAGTATAGGATGAAATGTCCGTGACGCGTGATCAACCGATTCCTGAGGCGTCTCATTAGTATTGTGATGTTTAGGCTTACTCCAGCCCAGTAATTGAGCACCTTCACTTCTTCATTCGGAATGAAGATTGGAGATCGCTCCGTTTTGCGTCTTGGCTCGAAGCCCTAATTTCTCACGATGTCCGATGATCTGCGAGCGCAGAGAAGAGATTTCGCTTATGAAGACCCAATTTCTCATGATGTCCAGTGATCTGCGAGCGCAAAGCAGAGATTCCGCTTATGAATTCTGCGTGGCAAGCACCATAATGGAGTGTCTGTCGAGGTGTTCATTTCGAGGCGACTATTTGTAGCCATGCATGCGCTTACTCGCTCGATTATGCTGCTCATCACTATCCAGCAAAGGCTCAAACTTGGTTGAGAATTGTCCAACATTACCAAAATTCGACTCCCTGTTGGGCTCTTTGTGAAACTTTCATGCACAATGTCAGACAAAACTAAAACTCCATTCCCGAGAGACTCAATTAAAACTCGTACAGCTGAAAGTCTTGCTGAAATTTAAACCAAAGATCGGATGGAAGGGTAGAAATCTCAGTCGCAGAATTTTGAAGCCTCTTTGGACAAGTCCAGCACCCTCCCTGCTTTAGACAAGGAAATTTGTAAATTTATCTTACGGTCACGAATGCCCTTTGAGTTATGTTTACTGGATAGGTCCATGGCGCTAACCGAAATTTAAATGGTACGACCAGTCATCAGGGATGGATGAAGGTTTCGTGTCTAGAAGGCATAAGCCCTGAACCTGTAAGCAATAGATTCTCAATTTCAACATCCAGTCGTATGATCTACAATTCGAGGGTCATCCCAACTGCCGAATCCAAATCCACGAGCTGAATGAGATAAAGTTTCTACTTTACTACTTGATACCCATTCAGAGCTTCCGATCAGACTCTAGACCGCACCTAATAACCTGCTTGTCAAAAGAGCTGTTCGTGCCCAATAGGTTATTCCTCCCACAAAGATCTTCAAATCTCGGAGTCCACGTGACAAGCAAATTTAAGCCGCCTAGTGGTTAGCCCATTTTCTTCACCTCCAGCATCAAGTTTTCCCATGTTAGCAGTGATCCCAGCTTGAGTTGTCCTGGTTCAACTTGCACTGTTGTAATATATGCCTTCCTGGACTGACATGTCGTAGCTTCGTGCAAAATGTTGCTGACTCTCATTTCCTGTCAGAACTCCTTTACAAGTGAAGGTTGGAAAATCTGGGCTCAGCCTACATTACATTTTCAACTGCTTTTGAATTCTCCGCCAGTGGAGAAAATTTCATGGCTTGTGTTGAATATTTACTATCCTATTTACATGGCTGCCTGACTACACCTCTATCCGGGTGCGAGGACTTGCTGAACGCACTACAGTTCATATAAACAGTTCCATTCTGATCATACCTAGAGAGGTTTTAGATTCCTTGCTCAAGCCGTTGTATATTGCGTCTTCTGCATGCCACATGGACTTTCTAACCTACAGGTGCGGAAACTCGCAATCTCAACCCATCTTTTGAATCTGTTCATTAATTACCTTATTCTTCTCTGAATATCATGAGAGCAATCTTGTCCTTGTTTGCAATCAATATCTACTATTCAGGGTTAAATTGATAATTAGTATATGAGTCCAAGTTTATACGCAGTGGGATTTGATTGTTTAACATTAAGTGAATGTGGACTGGTAAGCTCAACGATGCTCGTCCCAAAACGGTCGTTTCAATGTTTTCATCTTTAAAGAGAAAGTCAATATCTTTAGATGAGTTGTTAGCCAAAGTGCGCCAGATTGCCATAATTTTATAGCAATCAGTGCATTGGCCATAAGTAGTTTCTTCCTTGTGTTTCAAAGAAGCGCGAAAGTCAGTCCATAATAAGTGCAGACCCCTACTTCCCAAGATTCACCTTGTTGTATTTGTCAGTCAAGAATAGAAACAGAACTTAGGTAGAGAGATGAGAGAAAAAACCATGTCATAAACATATGAGAACAAATGAGCAGTTACAACTTTCACATCCTGATCATCAGAGGTTCATATTGCATGAGAGTCTAAACATATGCTTGTCAATTGCATAATGACATTGTAACCTTTTCAAATTCCTAACATGTCAAAATGCCAGAACGAAGACCTTTGTTCATGCACTCCTCGCACACCCATGCCTGCCCACCTAATTGTAGTCTCACGTATTTCACTTGATACAACTTGAAGCTTGCCGAATACCTATCTTGAAGCTGAGGCGCAAGAGTCTGCTGAATTCTCAACCATGCTTCTCTCAGTTCCTTGCTGTCCCCACCTTTTAGAATTGCCTTACGATCACGGATGCTAAGACCATCTACTTGAACAATGTCAGATTTTAAATCTTCCCACTCCGGAATTGCTTGGCCTACCCCTAGGGTCGCATCCAGTCCAGCCTTTGCAGCATAATACATGAGTTTGAATGAGATTTCAACAGTTTTCCGAATCCACCCACAATTCTCCCGATCCAAGCGTACCTTCAAGCCTTCTTGGTCTTTGACCCTATGAAACCCGGTCACTGACTCACACATCAAGTGTAATCGAACGGTTTTACCAATATGCAGGAGTGCACTCAACCTATAGAACAAGCCAACATCGTCTGTAACGTAAGGTCGCTTGGGAGTTCTCGTCTGTTGGAGAGATTGAGAATACTCAATGATATTGTCCACTTTAGACATGAAGTCACTCAACGTTGACTGCAGTTCGTGTTGCAAAGAAAGTATCTGTCCCATCTTAATATCCAATCTCTGCACAATGCTCTCCACTGATCTCAACCTCTCATCCAAACCATCAACCTTTTGTAGAAGCTGATCCATCTTCTTCTCAAGTCCGGTTGAACAATTTTCTCCACTTGTGCTAGCCGGACTTGTGGATGAAGGTGGATTGTAGTCTTTCATATGAGAAAGATTCAAGTTGCTAACCATGTTCTCATTTGCAGGGTAAAAATGATCCAAATCATTCTTCGCGTTGTTTAAACCTTCCTGCAATGACTCCAATTGTTGCATTTGCTTCTCTCGGATCTCATTCACAACCGCTTCCACATCGCTCTCCCACAGCAAGTCCCTAGCTCTTTCGAATATAACCTTTGTTGTGTATCCTCCAATCAAGGGCCAAGAATGCTCGTAATTGAACAACTCTTCATCCTTCTCCAAGTGCGATTTATCCCTCGAAATATCCTCAAGTTTGTCTCTGATGCTACAAATGAATTTTGATTTGAGCTCCTCAATCAGAATTGCTCCTCTCAGATGACTTGGAATCAACATCTCCACGCAGAGTGTTTGGATCACACCGAGCACTAACGCCACCCCGGGACAACCTTTGGGTGATGCGCAGAATGATATCAACTCCTGGACGATATGCTTCATCACGTATTTCAGAGCCCCCTCCCTTGACTTATGCTTTGAGCATAATATCAGAACATCCACGTATTTGTGGGACGTTTCTTGCTCCAAATAAATTTGATGCCCGTCAAGGAAAACACACAGATAATGTCGAGAGCAGGTAACAGTTTCCTTGGAAACACCCATCTCCGATATCAACTTGCGTCTCATGAACATCTACAATGACACAAAATTTGATAAATATTGATTTCCGCATTTCAAATTAAATTCAACAAATGAAAAGGCAACATTGCATTCATTGAACACAAGTTACAATAAGAACATGATGTATTCACTTTTCTTGCTGTATATATGAAATCATAATTCAACCTCACCTGGAAGCATGGGAAAAAAGCAGCGCTAAGTGACATTGTTTTTTCATCTTGGCATTGAATCCGGATGCCCACAAACTGTGAAGTCTCACCCCTAGTTTCCCAAGCCATTGACTTGATGGACGTGCCTTCTTGATGCTTCCGTTCTTCCATGCTTGCATGCTCAGGTATGAAGGAGGGAATGAAATACTGAGAAGTATCTTCGAGCTTGAAGCACAAATCCAAATTGATAAGGATGTTTTCAAGCACCTCTCTGCTCACAACTCCCTCTCCATGTGATTGCTTTTTGATAAACTCCTCTATCAATTGAGCAAAGTCACTCTCACTCACAAACCCGTCCTTGCTTGTGTATGATTCACGTGACTTTAATCTATCAAAAACTTGAGACTCTTGAGCTTGAAAGTCTTGACCCAAGGCTACCAGCTCACCCAATAATTTATTGGTTAGCGAGTTCGGATCCACAATGATGTAATCAAGGTTGGGGATATAAACTATCAAACCAGCGTCATTCAAATAGGATATGATTGATGTCATTATCCTTGAATGATCAACGGCGTGAGGAGAAGACAATGGAATAGATTGTGTCAGGCTGGGAACACAAAAGTCATAAAACTTTTGAGAGGACCAAAGAGGGCAATTTCTGTTCTCTTTGGTGTTTGTGACCAAGAAGTACGAGAGTTGAGAACACAATTTGGGAACCCTTGGAGACTTTTCACTCAACAACTTTTCAAAGATATCAAAAATGTGATTTTTGAGAGGAACAACTTGCTTCTTTTTCCGAGCATCTACATGAAAACACTCTTGCATAGGATGCAGATCCACAAATTTTGCAAATCTTTTGGTGAGTTGGTCCATTACGGAATGAGCCCAAGTCAAAGAGCTAGATCTGGTTTTATCCTTGTGTGAAATCACAACAAGAACTTGAGGCCGAATATGTCCTATGACCCTAATGCTAGAGGTGATGAAACTCAACCATTCCTCCAACTCTGTCTGGAAACAAGATTCTGGTTTGTTCGAAGATGATTTCTCACAGAAGGAGCTATACACAAAAAGAAAAACACAAAAGTTGCTGGTTTGAGAGAACAACACATTTTGAAGGGTACGAAAAATCTCTTGTCCAGCAAGATCCCAAATTGAGATTTGCCTTTGGTCATTATTTTGCAAGAATTCCACTTCTATTCCTTTGGTTCTCCAAAGCTGGTCCCATTTGTTCCCAAGCCAACTTTTGCCTTGAACTATCCTCATCAAAGTTTGACGCAATTTAGTCTTGCCTACAAAATCACAACAAATAGTTGAATTATTGAATTTTTCTTGGAATCAACCAATAAACTACATTGAATTTCTGGAAAATTAGGGAAAACTTCCAAATTTCATATCAAATTTTTAAACTCCTTTGATAACTTTTTACACAATTCCAAATACATCTTGATAAAAAATAACATTTATGGCTATATTATTAATTTTTGAGAAGTTAAACCTTAAGTGGCTAGTTTGCATACACCGAGAAAAAACTGAAAACCTACAAAGCACTTTACCTGCTCTAGGAGAGCCGCATAGAAAGAGTCGACCAGCTTTTGCATCTCCAAATGTTAGTTTTGCTTCTCGGAGCACGGACATGTAGACGGCACGCTTCTGGTTTTGCTTGAGTGCCTCCTGAATCTGCGCAGCCTTTCCGTCCGTTTCCCATGAGGTTGCTCGGACATCTATTTTCTGGAGAGTCAAGTTCACTTGTAAGAGGTCCATCAGGTCCCTGAACGACTCTTCGTCGAGATCGTTGTAAAACAAAACCAAGTGAGTGAGACTTGTGTTCCCTCGCAAGCACCACATCAGTTGCTTCCATAATCCCTTCAGAAGATCTTTGTTCCGAACATATAAATCAAGTCTCTTCAGGACTGAGGTTTCTCCAGTTTTTCCATTCATGGGGAGGATACTTTCCAGTCTATCTTGGTTGGTACCTGAAGTGCCGGTATGTCTCGCCGATATACTGAAAGATTTCAAAGATTTGATTTCCCCGCGCACTACCCTACCTAATAGGTTTAATGATAACATCAACTCATGGTCATTCAAAGTCTTGAGTCGAAGCTCCACTGTGGGCTCCTTGACATCTGAGCTAGCAGCACACGCAAGAGCTTCTATTGACTTCCAGCCATCTCTATCATTTTGGCGTAAAGAAAACCATACGTATACAGTTGTTGCTCTAGCATTGCCACGTATGACTTCGCCGAGCTCCTGCCATTCCTCAGGACGCATCCGCAAGGAGCTCAAACTCACTTCCTTCAATAATGGGTTGGAAGTAAGAAGTTCCCTTAAACAGCCTCCGAGTCTATCCATATCCCACAGCTCAAGACGTTCAATGGATCGGTTGCCATCATCTCCAGCCAAAGCTTTAAGCAACAAGGCCTCTCCCCACTCCACCTTATCTAACACCAATTTTTTCAAACATGAGCTCTGGATCAAAGCCTGGGACAGGATTCTAACGGTCTCGTCCTCCATGTCGTGCACGCGCCATTTCGACTTGAAGCCTAAACTGAACGTTTCTAATCGAGTAGCACTGTTGATCATATCAGCCACATGCTTCACCGCACTCGAGTCCTCCCACGCGTCCCATAGTTCTAAAGACTGGAGCTTAGAATCGGGATTTCCTCGCAGTCCTGAGGCGAGATTCAAGAAACATCTGGCACTCAAATCGCAGTAGAATATCATCAAACGTGATACGCTAGAGGAATTCAGAATTCTCCCCAGCTGTGAACACAAGCTCTCCACTTCCGCAAGTGATGCCCATGTCAACCAATTAACTCTTATCACTCTTAGAACAGTGCTAGACTTGAATCCTCTCAAGACTATCTCCCACTCGCTAGCGGTCAACGTCGATATATCTCCGCCACAAATATGGAAAAAGTCTAGATCCTCAAGGGTGTTGCAGTTTCCGATTGCCTCGAGTACTCGAAGGCGGACTTGGCTTCGCCACCCTCTGATCTTCGAGAGCGATGCACGCTCCGGAAAGAACTCCAGAAATTCTGCCACGCTTAATTTAGGAAGCCTTGTTATAGGCTCGCCTTTTCCTTCCAGACGGCGTATAAGGTCCTGGACAGCGGAGGGAAGCTCCCGTTCCATTCCCCTTGTCTCAGCAACGTGACTGACGATGGACGCACCTTCACCTTCCATTCTCCCCTCCACTCTCACAGAGGAAAAAACAGAGTAAAAAACGTTTGCTGCTTGGCATGCGCGAGCGAAATGTAACCGCGACTTCAGGCAGCCACTCCTCGATCCGCAGGCCGGGCTCACCCGAAGAAAACTGAACCTCCCGTCACAGTGTCACAATTCACAAATCGTGTGCATGCGTGCTGGGCATGAGACTTCTTGCACCCTGCATTAGTAGCGACACAAAGATTACTCTCAGCTGCTGTGCACAGAATCGTATCAAGAGCAATAACCACGAAAACATGAATATTATACAAGCAGGAGGCTGGTCAAAATCAGAGAACGACAAGCAATGTGAATCAAAAATAACAGTGAGAACTAGGATACTGATTCCACACAGCAAACCAAAGAGAAGAGAACCACTTCTCTTCGGAACGCAAACCTATTATGAAGTCGAACGGGGAGAGGTGTTCGATTTGCACCGGTGACTCAACTCTCTGCACGAACTTGAAATCCAAAGAATTGGTTCGTACCAAAGACGATGCTATGTGAACGCAGAATGTCCTGGAAAGCATGGAAGCGCAGATATTTCAGATGTGAACTAATCTGCGTTGTGTAAAACTCCATTTACAATTGGACTGGGAGAATGCGAAACTAGCTGCTTCGACACCCACGGGAAGGTAGACCCTACGATGGGCAGCGCGTAGAAAAATTATGAGTTTAATGATCAAATCTTCTCACTGAATCGTGTGGGTGATGAGGTAACAACAACATACGAATACAACAAGCGTGTTCCTCCATACTCAGTGTGATTGGAAAATGTTCTCAGAAGGTAAGAGTAACTCTTGACTTTGTTGTGCCAGCGAACAGGATAAATGAATGAATGAAGCAGTGTGATACACTCGATCTCCTCACGCTGACAACAAAGATTTCAATCGTCATCTTCATTCAATCCTTCTTTCTAGAATATGTGAACTATTCAAGCAAGTGTATCTATTCTGACAACTGAGAGGCACATGGGCAGTCAGCTCGGTCGACAAACCGTGTTGTGCTTTTTCTTGCTTTGAACAAGAGCACGAGCTGCCACGAGAGCCCAGGGAAAACTTTTCGAGGCTTCACAATTTCAAATGCACCTGGTGGGTTTCCTTGCCCCTTCTTTCCTGGATGGGCGAGTCGTCGGGCGAGGATCAGACACGCAATCGATTGGGATTTCGTTGAGTACTTCTTAGATTTCAACGCGCTCTAGTCCGTCACCAGGCACGAAATTCTTCACCTCAATGACTGGGGCACTTACTGGTACACCAATTCTAATGCGGTTCTAGAAAAGCGGTCCACATGGTTCTTGTAATAACCCACCAAAGGCTAAAACTGCAGTATGGTGGTAAAAAGATCGAACCCACAGGGACAGAGGCAACACACAGAGTAAAAGTGTCACGTTTAACAGACTTTTGTAGAGTTTGAATTCTAGGCGACTGTCACTCCCAGAAATACTGCAGTGCTCGACTCGGAGGCTCGACTCGGAGGAGGATCTCAACTCGGAGGATGCTCGGAGGATGCACAGTACAGCTTGGTCACTCAACACACACACACACACACACCTGAAACTGGCAAAAAAAAGCACAACTCGGAGGTCGGTCAGGACCTCCGCTTCGGATTTCAGGAGGAAAGTGTCTCGCAAGCTCACTCAGAGGTTCTGCAGGTAGTGCCTCCCACTCCGGCTTTTACTGCCCTTCCGCCAGGAACTAGCGGGGGTACCCGGACTGGACTTCCCACTTCGGAACGAAGCCTCTACATACGCCGTGGACGTCACCCTCGACTATCACACCAAACGCAGGGAGTGCAGACCCGACTGAGAACTTACTGAAAACACGATCCAGTAACACACACACAACCTGAATTACAAACCAAGGTTTACACGAAGTAATGAAACTTCACATTGGCATTCAGGGGAAACTTCCCGTAGGAGTACAATCAGGATATGTCACTCGAAGGAGTAAGGGGGAACTGTTCAAGTATCTAACTCGCAGCCAGCTCTGAGCATCAGAAATCACCCACAGGTGCAGATCCGCACTACTCAAGTCTCTAACCGGGTGCTAGCTCTGAACATTCAGCCGAAGGCCTTCAACTACAACATACGTTAACTTCGCTATGCTGCAGCTTCTCTACGTGGTGCCAGGACCAAAATGCACAAACACGCCAAGAAAGTGAGTTCCTGATCTGCACTTCCGAAACTGGAAGAGTCCCAAGGCGAAACGCCTTGATCTACTTTATACTCTCAAAAAAAATCCTAACTAGCACTACGCTATCCTATCTACCACTCGCAGCATCTGCGCGAAACCAAACTACTCTACTGCAATCAACAGATCCGGTGCTGCGCCTCCTGCGCGCCGGACTGCTCCGCTTACTGTCTCTACCGTGCCAGTCTTCCGACCGGCTGCGTAACCCCAGGCGTCGGAGCGCTGTGGTGACTTCCGACTGCAAGTGCGCCATAGTGTCGCGCGCATCCGACAAGAAGGTTTCTAATTTTCTCGCCACTCGCCGCCGACTCCGACTGTCACCCTCCGTCAATGCCGCCGCCCGAAGCTCGAACTCCCGGAGTGTAATCCTCTCTTGAGCTGCCACCTCCCAATGGGCGTATCCTTTTAGACAACGAGTCACCTGTGCCGCCAACTCTCCTCGCGCCCTGCAGCTGCTCTCCACCTCGGCCAGCTGCATTTCTAATCCCGCACGTTGTGCCCTCAAATCCGAGCACTCGGATTGCAAGTTGCACAACAACTCCTCATCCTCCTTGCGGGCTCTTTGACTTTCTTCTAAGGCGCGCGTCTGGCGCGCAAGCTCGGCTGCTAGGACTTGGTTCTGTCTCCGCTCCTCCTGCAATTCCGACTCGATCTTTGCCCGTATTAGTTCGGCATCCGCCTGACTTTTCGTCGCCGCATCCTCCTTCTGCTGCTGCAAGGCTTGGTATAGCTTCTGAGTGACCGCCAGGTGTTGTCGGAGGGCGGTGTTCCTATCCACATATACTTGGCAACTAGAGGCCCACTTTGCCACCTTGCTCCTCGTCCTTCGCTTGATAGTCTCCACATAAGACTGCGGTTTTAAGGCACTTGCGTATTTGGATGTCTTGCGATCCAGATATCGCAGGAGTGGAACTATCTGTTCGCACAGCACCCCTGTTGGCGTTTTCTGCACCGAATCCGCTTCCTGCTCTTCCGAGCTCGTATCATCCTCAGTCTCGAGGATTTCAGTCGCCACCGAATCCCTTGGCGACTCCCTGGAACTGTGGCGCGCAGCAGCTTCCGCGGCGACTACTGCTCCACTGCCTGCTAAAATATCCAGGGCAGTGGGAGATCCCACTGCTTGAGCCCCTGTTCCGGCTCGATCTTCGGTTTGTGAAGGGGTCGACGCCGCAGTGACTTTTGTCACTCTTGAACCGCCCGCTTCTGCTGCCTGTCCTTCCGGCGCAATCTGCGCGAAAGGTGTCCTTGCTGAAGGTGCGTCCGCCGAAGGCGTCCGCACACTGGTCGTTGGCCCCATCCGTCTCGCAGTCGGCGGATCCGGCTGACTCTCTGTTGTCCGACTGGGAGTCGGATACACCCTGCGCGTCTTGACTCCACTTGGCCTGCTTGCTGGTGGCGTTCTTCTAGAAGTGCCTTCCGCCGAAGACGACCCTCTGAGGATTGTTGGCTCGTCAGCCAAACTCTCTTCTGCTTCCGGCCTGCTGTCCGGTTCAACGCGCCGTTCAGTTGGCCTTCCTTCCGCTTGTCGACCTTCAGTCATCCGACTCGCAGTCGGCCGGCTGTCAGTCCGTCCATCTCCTCCCGAAGGCCGTGGTGCCTTCTGTGCAGAGGTATCTGCCGTCTTCCCTAGAATCTGAGCGATTATCTCTTCCTGTGTGAGATTCCGCCGGGTCGGAGTTCGCCCGGTCTCCTCAGTACCAGTTGGCATTTTGCGTGCCCTCTGTTTTGGTCGACTGTGAGGCTCGGGGGTGGGCCGACCACGAGTCGGCGCAGCTGGCACTTCCGGCTGCCTGTCCTCAGGTCTCTCATCCCACTTCCGCTTTCGCGGAATGCGCTCACTTCGACGTTCTTCTGCTGCTCTTGCTGGAGCCGGAGCCGGAGGCGTACTGGCAGGTTCCTCGTCCGGATCCGTGTCTACTTCGGCCTCCCTCGAATATCTACCTGGATAAGTCCGGGTCAGCTGCGGATACCGTGTTTTCTCAGCATTTGTCAAACATCCCATCGCCCGGTAAAACACGATTAAGTAAGGCGATAGATGATTGAGGGTTCCTCCCTTCTCTTCTTGCGCATGTTGGCGCGTCACCTTCCACAAGAGCCGTGCCCAATGCACTGGAGCTCCTGACAACACTAGCTCCACAAACTCTACCTGCCAACCATGCATGTAAGCGGTCTTGGTCGGCTGCAATATCTGCAGCAATGCCGTCGCGACATTTCTCCGCAATCGATCCTTGTAATCCCGTGTCCGGAAACCGTTCTTGGGATGTCTGGCAACTTTGAAGAGCTCATTGTAAGAGACTTCTTCCTCCTGGGACACCTTCACGCTATCGGCCTCGAAGAGGAGATCCCCTTCCTCGCCGGCACACCTGCCCAACACCTGCGCCCAATTGCAAATGTCCCATCTCTCTTGGTGGTGGGCGAAATCCGCGAGAAGGCTTGTGTCTCTCCTGCAGATACTCGCGCACCATCTCCGGACATGTCCAATTCCACCCCCATAGGAGAAAATCGAGCTTCAGCCTCAACAGCACATCTTGAAATGCGCGTAGACCGATCTGCGGCACCCTGAGTGGAGACACTCGCAGCTGGGGAACCTTCGACATTGCGTTGCCTGCACACACAAACGTTCTCCCTTTCGCTCGCTCTCTCACAATCGCCACTGCGCGTCGGCCACTCAAGCACTGACTGCTCACTCTCTCTGCGCTCGTTCAAGATCGCTACTCGCAATTCTTTCAAGGTCCGCCAAGATCCTTGCGCAACTCGTCTCCGCACTCTCTTCTCTCACTGCAGGTCGCTCCGCCCTTGCGCGTAATCTTGGAAACTGGAAATCGCAAAGTCAAGAATGAGAGAATGAGACTGGAGCGCAGTCTTTTCTTCTCCGATTTCAAGAACGTCCAACGTTCTTACTGGTTGCAACGTACGCAGCCGGCTATACGGCTTAACGGTTCGCCCTTTGCATGCGCGAATTCACGTCTCCGCACTGCGCGCATTCGCATGCTTAAACGTTGAATTCTCCCGCCGCCGCCACCTTCCGGACTCGAGTCCGCTGCAGGGTATACGTCGGCCCTGTTGTCTTTTCCTAACCCGTCCCTCACCGGAGGCGTGTCGCCGCTGGTGCGTTCATTATCCGTCGGCGCCTTGCTGGAGGCGCACATCCAGTCGGAGCGAATTACGCCGGCGCGCAGTCGTACCGCCTATTTTGTCCTTTATGCCTCATCCGTTGCTGCCGGCGCATATCCGTCAACGCAACTCATGCCAGCGCATCCGGCCGTCAGCGCCACGTCGGAGGCGTACATCCGACCGGCGCTTTCCTTCCATGAACAGCCGCCAAAGGCGCTTCCGACTCTGAGTTGGTTTCCTCCTATGAGCGCGTGATTCCGCCGAAGGCGCATCGCCGAGGGCGTACGGGAATCCTTTCCGGCTGTGAACCCTAGCGCGAACGGCGCATGTCCGGCTACGAGTTTTCCGACGCTCATAACTTCTCCATTCCTGATCCATCTCCGACGCTCTTGGACTCGTTAGAACGAGCGTCCCGAGCTCTTTCTAATGCAACTTCAACCAACTGGATCTACCGTGTATCCCGATTGTTATGAAGGTTTCCCCTTTCCGCGCTAGCGGCGCTTCGCCGAAGGCGCACTCATGGTCGGACGCCTTTAGAGGTCCGGGCCCTTCTCCTGACGTCTTTAGCAAAACCTCCTCCTGAGGTGTCTGCGCCGGAAGCGTAGCTTCCTTATACGCTGGAGGCGCGTGAGTAGAGACACCTCAGAAAAGGAGCTTTTGCCGAAGGCACCGAAGACGTTGGCGTTGGTACATCCGACTACGTGATTCTTTGTGCCCTCGTGACAATCTCATCAATCCACTCTATTTAGCGTACCCTTCTCTAGCTACAAACACTGCTTTGGTACTAGTTTTCTAAAATTTGTTTAAATTCTGCAAAAAAACAAAAAGTGTGTTACCACAGTTCTTCGTGGCTATCTCAGTGGGAGTGGAGCCCACTTCAATAGTCAGCTTATCAAAAGCAAGTTTTCCCTGCTTTCTTTTGTGAACCGGCCT